CGTATACCGGTGGTTGAGGTGTCTGGTTCATGACATTTGCGGTATTTTGATCCATTCCCGCCGAAGCGCCTGCTTGAAGTGATCGACACTTTGGTATTTTTTAGTGCCAACCTTGCTTTCCTAAAATACTCCAGACACAATAGTCCAACGGATTGGTATCCGGAGATTTTGGTGGCCATTGTGCGCTGGAAATGAAGTGAGGAACCTCATTTTTTAACCATTCTTGGGTGGCTCGTGCTGAGCCCTTTTGGAATGTCCAAGGTCTGCGGCCAAAATGTTTGCGTGCCCAAGGCTTTAATACACCCTCCAGAATGTTTTTGCCATAATATTCGGCATTTATTCTGATGCCACGGTCGATTAATACGAGCGGAGAGCGACCATCGGCTGTTATGGCGGCTAATTTTGAACACACCATCACCATGGCCGGCGCTTGAGTTCTGGTAGCCAACCGAAGGTGCAAATTTTCAGCTGTTTTGTTTACAAACTGCTGGACAACGAATGTTTTCTCATCGGAGAAAACCAAATTCGATAGTTCACCACTTTCAGCCAAGCGAAGCAACACTTTAGCTCTTTAGAGTCTATATTCTTTCCTTGTTCTTGGACTTTTTGGAATTTCAATGGCTTTACCCCGAGCTCATTTTTCAATATTTGCCGAATGGAATATTGTGATATGTTCAGCTCACGAGCCATTTTTCGGCCACTGCGACGTGGGTTTCGATCAAGTAGCTTCCTTACTTTTCGAACCATTTCTTATGTCCGTCCAGTTCATTGACGTCGTTCTACGCTGCCAGTATCACGGTAACGAGCGATGGTACGTGAGACAAAAGATTTATTCACTTGTAAATGCTGAAGTGCTCTAACGATAGCCACTTGTGGTTTTCCAGCCAAATATAAATAAATCACACTATTTTTCTGGAAAATTCTCACCAAAAATGATTTTATACGCTTGTAAACAATATAATGAGTAGACAATAAAAAATAATTTTAACAGCTGTCGGATGTGTGGCTTAGAAATGACAGCAGTCTGAAGTTGGTTGCAGTTTTTTCATCTCACCATGTAGATCTATCCTTGACATACATCGAAATACGGGTATATTTCTCAGTAACAGTGAATATGCGTCGTATTATAAATTTTGTGGTTCACAAATGAATTAGTTCAATAAAATTTTTCACTGGATTGGGTGTCTGAACTGAAGTGGTTTAGTCAATTGACCTCCCTACAATTCAATATAATTTTGATAGCACGAGTTATTTATAAAAAAGCGGGATACGATTGGACAATATCAATATAAATGTACCAGGATTGTTTGGGTTATATAGGGAGTCAATGAGTATTTGTATTTTGTTGTGTTATTTGTGTTCCAATTGTTTTCAACGGGTTTTTGGATTTCAAACCTTTAAGAAAATTGTTTAAAATTAAGTCACATTTAAATCTTAATCCAACAGTTGTTTCCCGATCAAATCTCCTTTATATGAATGTATTTGACGTTTATGCAATCGAATTGACAATTTAAATCAACTGGGTTTACTAAATCCAGTAAACTGTAAAAATTCAATTAAACTGTAATAATACTCATCATATGACAATATTCATAATTTGCATGATTTCCGAACCCTGTATTTTTCTCTCTCACTCTCTCTCTGTGCGCAGAGTCGTAGGGAATTCCTATGAAGCAATGATTTTGAGTGAAAAATATATGGTGTTCCTGTTACCTCTTAAGAATCAAATATTCTCCGCAATTATAATTGCTGGTGCCTTTCAATGCTCACTTTAAAGATGTTTATTTATCAAAGTCATTAATCTTCTTTAACCTATCAAAGTGGGGGGATGGGATTTACTAATGCCGTGTAACAAAAAGAGTAAAATTTTTGTGGGGCAGTCATAAAGAATTCTTGGGTATTTTGTTTCAATTTAGCAAAATAGATATCCATTTATGTGTATCACACATACATCATTTTTCACTTTTTGTTATCTTTACAAAAAAACTGTCAAATTTAATGACTTTCTAAGCTGCTCCTATTTGCTGCGAAATCATTTCATTGTTTCGAATGACACTTTTGTTGGCTCCAAAAAAAAAAAGAATGAAAAACCGAAATACCTTTGTCACGTTTCCTTTCAAATTGGCTTACATTTGAATCGAGTCATTGCTCTCAATGGGGAGCAAATTTTGAAAATAATGAAGGTCATCATTCGACGCCAAGATATTGTAACCGGTTTCTTTGTTGTTGTCAGGAAAACTCCCCAACCACCAGAGAAATGCTCCACCCGCATTTCTGAGTAATACCTAGCTATGATGTGAATTTTGCCAGTACAACAGGAGGTCAAGGTTACACGTCATGTCATGCCAGCCAACATCTCCCACTACCAGCATTCATATTTACCTACCCACAAAGGATGTTTAACTTCTAACTGTCAATGAAAGCTAAATATTTAAGTATCCATTTAATGTAAAACAAAACAAAGCGAAATGAAATGAAAGATTACCACAAGGATATAAATGTGCCCATTTATCCCTTTCTTTGAATGAATGCAGATTGAGTCATAAAAATATTTATTATGAAAATCATATTAATCGCTTTATGGCTGATGTTATGGTCTGACAATAAAATGTTAATGTAAAGCATTTCGGACAGTGGGTGTCGAAAATTGGTTCATAGTTAAAACTTTTTGAAGAATTTTTTTAAGAATTGTCGTTAAAAGGAACTTTTGAATGGTAATGGTAATTAAAATAAAAAATTAATGACCTAGAGGTTTCCAGTCGAGTATTAAAAAAACACCAGTAAAGAAAGGGACCGACTTTATGATACCCTACATCCGTTTTCATCAAATTTTGCATATACAGAGTGAGATGAAAAAACTGCAACCAACTTCAGACTGCTGTCATTTCTAAGCCACTCGTCCGACAGCGGTTAAAATTATTCCAGTAACAGCTCATTATATTGTTTGCAAGCGTACAAAAGCATTTTGTTGAGAATTTTCCAGAAAAAAATTATTCGCGATGGAATTCAAGCGTGATAGTGTGATTTCTTTATATTTGGCTGGAAAACCAAAAGTGGCTGTCGTTAGAGCACTCCAGCATTTAAAATGTGAATAAATCTTTTATGTCTCGTACCATCGCTCGTTAGCGTGAGACTGGTAGCGTAGCCCGACGTCAAGAAAGTAGCCGGAAGAAAACAGCAACATCAGCAGAAATGGTTCGAAAAGTAAAGAAACGACTTGATCGAAACCCGCGTCGCAGTGGCCGAAAAATGGCTCGTGAGCTGAACATATCGCAATATCCTATTCGGAAATATTGAAAAATGAGCTCGGGGTAAAGCCATTGAAATTCCAAAAAGTGCAAGAACTTACAACGCATGAGAAAAAAATTCGTTATCTAGCAGTTTGTAAGCCAACAACATGATTCTGTTTACTTGCCAAAGAGGTCAGCTGAAAATGTGCACCTTCGGTTGGCCACCAGAACTCAACCGCAGGGCAGGGTGATTGTGTGGGTCGCCATAAAAGCCGGTGGTCGCTCTCCGCTCGTATTTATCGACCGTGGCATCAGAATAAATGCCGAATATTATCGCGAAAATATTCTGGCTTTGGGCACGCAAACATTTTGGCCGCAGACGTTGGACATTCTAACAGGACTCAGCACGCACCACCAAAAAATGGTTACAAAATGAGATTCCTCGCTTAATTTCCAACGCACAATGGGCACCAAAATCTATGGATACCAATCCGTTGGATTATTGTGTCTGGAGTACTTTGGAAAGCAAGATTGGCAAAATATCGCAGAACAACATGCGGGCAGCGTGTGACGGTTTTATGTTCGTATGAAGACCATAATTCGAACAAATCTAAAATTTTTCTAAAATTTGATGCTATTTCCGGCATTTTTTGCTTCCATTCAATAAAATAAAAAACATGTAAAAATTATGACTTTTGACTTTGTTGCAGTTTTTTTTTTATCTCACCCTATATATGGGAGCTATATCTATATCTCAACCGATTTCGATCATCTTTGCCATTATTATTTCCAGGACTAAGTTGGTCGTAAGTGCAAGTCATATTATTTGGACTTATATTAAACGTTTGGTGCACAATAAAGGCAAATCGGATGAAGAGCAATGTCTAAATTTTGACCGATTATTAGGGTTCGTCCTTGGGTCAAACGAATTACTTGTGCAAAATTTTATCTGGATCGGGCAATAAATGCGACCTGTACTTTGTCATCTAAACTGTAGTTGTTTAGTCAAGGAACTCCATAGAATTCAATTAACCCTTGATTGCACGAATTGTTATCAGATTGAACATTTCAAAACGAGGGTGTCAAAAACAAAAACACTTTTTATGTCAAGAAATATATGGGACCGTAATTTCTTAATGTCTTAGCGCGACATGATGTTATATTTTAAAAATGGCATATGAACATCATACAATTTAGACAGACACAGTTGATTAATTTTATTTCTAAGTGTGCCCGATTTCAGTACCGTGGTTTTTCATATCAAACTCGAAAATCTTATATTTTATTTCTTCACATTTTGTTTTTCGACATAGGTCATTTGTTTTTTGTTACCATCTTTCGACACCGACTGTATGATTAATGTCTGCTCTCCCCTCTCCCGGTGGTTATGGTAAATGTCACACAAAAAACCTACCTATATATGAATATTGCTCATACAAATCCATAAAATAAATAATTATAATTCATTCATAGTTAAAGAAAATCAAAAGCTTTTGTTCTTCAGCGATTTTTATGATAAGCTTAATTTTTGCAAGCTTTTTTGTGTCTTTGGCTGGAGCAACGAACAATGAAATGATGATGAAAAGAAATTGTTTGGGAACAGTCGAAACTCTCTGTGTTTACTTCAATCCCACTCAAAGGGAGAGCTTTTGAGTAGAATTCCTTAAAAGGTTACCATGGCGAATGAGTGAGAGTAACTCTGCCGTCAAGATATGGCTCTCTCTCTGTACACTGGTGGTTGTGTGTGTTGGTGAGGGGTTTTTGCATATCCAACAAACTTTTAGTCCTTAATGGCGCGGCTAACGGTAAAAATGTGATAACTCGATAACGGTACACGCGTCTTTGTTGTTTATAATTGTAGCGGTTTCTCATGATTTCCTTATTTCTAATTTTAACTTCAAAACAAGCAGACCAAAGCGAAAACAAAAACGAACGCCGAGTGACAGAGTAAACAAAGTAAAAATAAATAAATTCCCATTTGTTTTTGAACAATCACCCAATCCTAGCCTTTCCAAAAAGTATTAATTTACAAAAAAATTAAGCCAAGAAAATTGTTAACAAAAAAAAATCAAGAAAATCTTTAGAAAAAGGACATTGCATGTTGGCCGTGCCATAAGCGGTGTGTGTCTCTGTGTGTGTGTTCCTCCGTTCATCGATGTGTGTATTGAGCAAGCTGTGATATAACAAATTTCTGTTGTGTTTGTGTGTGTGTGTGTTGGTGCGTATTTGATTCCTCTTCAATAAAGGCTATGAGAAAAATGTGTGGCGTTTAAAGGCAAAATAAAAACACACAAACGGTAGCGGCGGGTGTGAGAGTGTCAACAAAAATCAGCATTTATCCATCCCCCCTCCCCCTATTGGACAATTCCAGGGAAGAGGAAGAAGATTTGCCATTAAATTCCTGCGAACGAGCGAAAGAAACATAAAATGTATGTATCATAAAGAGATTTTCATTTCCTAGCAAAAGAAAAGCAAAAACAAAGACAAAAAAAAAAAACAATAACAAATTTCACGAGGGATAACCGTTGCAATGGAATTTGATTAGCCCCTGCCGCCGCCACCACTCCACTCCCAGCACCATCGAACTGCTGCAGTGCATTGTGAAACGCATGCACTTTTTGTCCCTGGAAAATGCATTGAAAACTCTGCAGAGAAAATAGAAACGTTAGTCAAGGTGAAATTTCCCATGAAAGGGAATCTAAAGCAAATACCGAATGGATGCTGATGCTGTGGCGTTGGCGGCGACAACGGCAAAGCCATTTCCCCGTTGTTTCAGGTTGCCGTTTTTGTAGTTCTTGTTATTGTTCTATTGTGGTCCATGGCAGTGCTGGGCGGAAAACAAATCCTTAACATTTTGTTGCCCGCAAATTCTTCGTTTAAACCTTAATTGTGCACTTGACAAAAAATTTGCGAAGAGTCAAAGCAAATTTAAAACTCAACCATTTCCCGGTTAACGGATAAGGGGCTGTCGAGTATCTTCAAGTGCGGGTCTTTGCATTACAAAGTTATTTTTCCAGGGGAATAGGAAAATGGTTACAGTGGGACTTGATTGCCATGAAATTTAAGAGATTACAATTTTGCAGAGCTTTTTAAACTGATTACAGTTGGGAAACGTCAAAGAGTTTTTGAAATATTGTCAATATAATCATGTTCCACTGTGTATGGCGATCATGATTAGATTGTGTCGTTTGAAAACAAAACAAATATAAATATCAATTTTCAACTATCCACATTTGTGATAACATGGTCAATAACTGATAACTGAAATTTCAAATGAAAAAATTACGCATCAATATTCGACCTGCTGTTTTTAGGAATTATCACAAACTTGATACGAACTAAAAATGTTTACCAAATAAGGAAATACGACTCGCTTGGATTTGCCTTTGGGCGTCTATCTCGCCATAAAAAAAACTCTAGGGTCAGACGGCCTTATGTGAAATTTACTATCAAACGCGGAGGACATTGCTAATCCTTTCTATCTAACAACATAGCAGTGGGTTGGAATAGATAAAGAAAGTTTTTTTCTGCTTAATGCAGCAGAACGAGGCTATGAAAGACAATAAGCTGTCGACCAAAATATGGATCTGTCATTATTCAGGTTAAACGATAGGAAGTCCAATCGGTATATATTTTCCAAAAAAAAAAAAAAAAATATAGATAGCTTTAATATACCTTATCCTTATATGATTATAATTCACCTTTCTGACTAACGGGACGATCTACAGACACCGCCTTTTGTAAGGATTAAATATAAAAAAAAATATATACCCCGGCCTTTTTTCCAAAAATGGAGCGATCTTTTTATAAAAAAATCTTAGCTATAGCAAATTGTGACGACAAAAATGAGATTTTCGAGGTAAGTTCTCCCAAAAAATCTTAGAAGTACCAATGGCGCCCAATGATTCTCTCTAAAATTGATTGACTGGTAACATTTGATTGATTGATTGATTTTGAAGGATTATCTACGGATTTAACCACCGATGTAATCGGGCTCCCTGAACACCCATTCTGGTTAAATTGGTGGCTAAATCCGGAGATAATCCTTTAAAATCAACCAATCAAATGTTAGCATTCAATCAATTTTAAAGAGAGTCATTGGGCGCCATTTTTGCTTTTTTACCCTTTAGTGGCCGTCTTATGGGGTTATACCAAAACAAAAACCTCTATAGATAATTTTTCTACTTCAAGGATAATTATCTATTGCCAGTCGTAAATACCAAAATTGAAACAATTTCATGGGTAAATGTGACTACAAATACCTTTAAATACCAATTTTCAAAAAATGTGGCGAAAATCATTAAAATGCTGAATATCCGGAGTTACCCTAATACGTGGGCAATGTGAAAACGTGAACATATACATACTATGTTCCGCCACAGAAGCTATACTCCATTACGAACTACAAAAACAAATTTCTGGACAATTCCATGAAAATATTGACAAAAATCATCAAAACATCGAATATCGGGAGTTACCGTTCTATGGAGGCTATATCAAAACACGGACCTATATATACTATGTTCCGCCATCGGAGGTAGAACCCATTATGACCTACAAATACCAATATTTACACAAAGCCGTGAACAAAAATGTGCCAAAAATCACCAAAATACCGAATATAGAGAGGGGCCCGTTATATTGGGGCTATACGAAAACGTGGACCTTTACATACAATGTTCCGCCACAGGAACCCATTAAGAACTATAAATACCAATTTTTAGACAAATCCGTAGAAAAATGTGACTAAAATTATCAAAACACCGAATGTCATGAGGTACCGTTATATGGAGGATATACCAAAAGTGGACCATATATACTATGTTCCGCCAGCGGAGCTTGAACCTATTACAAACTATAACTACCAATGCAATGGTCCGCCACAGGATCTTGAACCCATTACGATCTGTAAATACCAATTTTTAAACAAATCCGTGAAAAAATATGGCAAAAATCATCAAAATACCGAATATCGGAAGGTACGTTATATGGCGTTATTTGGACGTTATTTTCAATTCCAACCATCCTAAACACAATACAAATTGTTCTGCCAAATTTACTCTACGTCAAATAATATGGGATATATCGTGATTTCAATAGACAGACGGACGTTGTTAAATCGACGTAGAATTTTATGTTGATCATGAATATATATAGCTTATGGGGTCTACGACGAATATTTAGGGATGTTCTCAATGTGGAGGGTATAATAAAGAAGACTTTGAGTTCTGGTTCGTCTTTTTAATTTGAATATATGTCTGTGTTGAAAATCGCCTTTGTTGCAGTTTTATTTTTAAATTATTGCTCTGTTCCAGAACTGGAAGAATGTTAAACTTTTTACTAGGATAACTGATTTTCATATCGAAAACATTATAATATCTGGAACAGAGCATATGTCCACCGAAAAGTCGACTTATCTGTCATCTTTTGGCAAACTTCGAAACGGACTTGATTCGATTATTTTTTAAAAGGTAAGAATTGAAAAAGTAGGAACAAATTGAAAAATCTAAAAGTCTACTTTCGCTATTGGCTATGTATTCCTCATGATAAAATTAAGAAGTTAAAGTCATTTCAAATAAGAACATCCATTTCTGAATTTTTTGAAATTTACCTTGTCAACTTTTATTGCATAGAAAATAGGTTCCTATCTCTGATTTTACAATGCGATTTTGTCAAGTGAATAATTTTGAATAAAATTGTGAACGTATGATTGCATGACATTGTGAATACGGTTTGTGGCTATAGAAACAGACCAGAGAGGTCTTGAGCCTTTGTTACATATCTTTGTAAATATATTTGAAAGTCAATAACTTGAGTTAGGTTGTACGATTATATCACCCAAACTGCATATATGTATATCCCCAGGTGTTGCTTATTCAAATGTTATGTCGCAATAATATTAAATTTGTCCCTTAACAACACCCTAATGTACTTTAAAGTTTCCTCTATACACATACATACATATGTGTCATCCAAAATTGCTGTGGGTGATCGGTCGATGGTTATGCTATGGCCCACTTTATGTCACATAGGTTCATTTATTTTATTTTCTTTTTCCATTTTTTCTGTTTGGGTGCCAAAGCAGCAACACTACACCACCTTGTATGTGTTTACACCGGTTACAGGCGATGACGCAAAGAAAAAAAACCGCCAACCTCACGTGTTTCATTTACAGGAATTTCCGCTCCATTTCCCTTTGGAGCAAAAAAAAAAAAACTGTTCATTCCTTTACTTTGGGGTTTTTAGGTTAAACGCGAAAAATGTGTTCCATCGAATGGGGGAATTTACATGAGTAATACATATTTTTTTGGGCTAACATGCATGTGGAACGGGTCATAAAAACAATGTTGTAATCATGGTAAAATAAAGAAGGTAAAGTTATTTCAAATAAGCATATCCATCTCTGCATTTTCTGTAATTTACCATGTCAAATTTCACTGCAGAAAAAATAGGTTTCCATCTCTGATTTGTGTATTTACAATGGATTTAAAATTAAATATTTTGACAACGAGATGTTTGTAAATGAATTTTGAAAAAATTGTAAACTTGTGATATATACATCTTGATTCTACCATGATTGTAATATGTAATGTAGATATGCTCCAACACCTACTTTATGGTATAATAGCACAGAGTCCGGATATGTTTTCAGTTTCTCATACTAGAACCACAGTTGCTCTATTCCCAAAAACTTGAGAATCCACCATTTTTGCATTTTTTTCTTTTAATTTTTTACTTTAAGGGTTTGAAAAATTTCGCTATTTTCAAACTACATAAAAGATTAGTTTTTATTTTTCTATTTTTGGAAATTTGTAATAGCCCATTATGCCGTTCCACCTCAATATCGCCACCCTTCAGTTCCCAATGAAAGTGCCCAAGTTAATGGCATTCAAGGGAGTTTGCTTCCACATATTCGTTTTATTTTCTTTTTTTTTTAAAAAAAACAAACACACATTTTTTGTTAGTCATTTGACATGCACACGAAATGCGACCAATTTAATTTCACCCCCTCCTCCACCACACGCATTGGGGGGTTGCCAATGGGCCGAAAAAAAAATAGTTGGCGGACTCCCCGAACAATGGCACTTTAAAATATACATATCTCTATATACTGTGTACTGGGGAAATCTACATTTGACACTATGACACAAAATTCTACTTTTCGCCCATTGTTTTTGGGAAGCAAAACAACAAACAACTGGAGGAAAGTTGGGGAGGTGTCAACTATTTGTTGGCATGCGTTTCAAAAGTGGAAGGATTTCCTTTTGAGTTTAAAAAAAGGAATTCTAGGAAAAAATTTGTGTCACAGAATTGAATGTAGAGTAGAATTTAAAATTTAAAAATACCATGGCATGTAGAAATCTTTAAAAAAACATGAAAGGAAAAGTCAAAAGTCGGGCGGGCCCGATTATATGATACCCTACACTAC